ACAAGGAGAAATAGACAAATCTACAATTATAGAGAATGATCATTAGAATTCAGAAAGTGCTAGACCACACAGATTTTATAAAATGCTAAGAATGTAAAAGATATGAATGACATAATTTACATTTCTTATTTATCGGGCATTTATAGAATGCTGATCCCAACATTTAGAGAATCATATTCTTTACAAAAACTGAACATATATTAGCCTACAAAGCAAGTCCCCACAAATAGCGAAGAATCAAAACCATACAGAACAAAAATAAGCTTTTAAAAAGTAGCATTCAGTGAATACAAAAGGAGTACTCAGAATTAAAATAAGGCAGTATAAGAAAAAACTCAGCAGTATGTGTGGAAGATTAAATTGAAGAAATCTCTCAGAAAGTAGAACAGAAAGGCAAAGAAGTGGAAAATGAGAGAAAAGCTAGGAATATGAGATCATCCGTTTGGTAGTTCCAACATTCCCAAAATAGGGATTTTTTAAAAAAGTTTTTTGTTGTTTTTTTTTAAAGACCAGGGAAGACTGAAGTTTTGTGACTCAAAAGACAGACATGCTAAGGTGTGTCAAAGTCAAGGTGCCTGCTGACACCATGCTGCATTTCTCACCTCAATGCAGAATACCCAAGGGAAGCTGCTTCAGATGCTTATCTGTGTTTCATTTGTCCTGACCACAGGATAGAGAAGTTGCTGCTCTCTCCTCTGCGCCCTTGTACAGAAACTCATTCACTTAACCACATTCTTGTCGATGTTCACTTGAAGACCGCCCTAGATGCCCTGACTCTGGTGAGACCCATTTTCTTTGGACACACTCATGACCTGGCTTCTCTGACTTCCCCAGAAGAAACTCCTAAAACAACCAACCAACCAAATAAGCAAACAAAACAAAACAAACAAACAAAATGCCAACCCCAGACTGACTCAAAAACTCTGGTCACCATATTTTTTCCTGGAACTATTATCCTTTTGTCAAAATACTAGGTTTGAGTTTATTTCTGATGTTTCATGCACATAAGTGATAGAACTCCAAAGAAAAGCAAGGACTCATTTAACACAGATATCAGTATGATAGTTGCTCTGGGAAGCAATAGGGGATGTGATGGCTCAGGACTAGGGAGCTCAGAATGTGACAGTAGTGTTCTACCTTGTTGAGAAGTAATGGTGTGAACATGGGTGTTTGCTTGATTCTTGTTGTTTACCTTGTACATACAGATTTTATATATTCTTTTGGTTTGAGAAATTCAAACTTTTAAAAAGAAGTATGAACAGGTAGAGTTTATCTCAGTAATATATATATTTAAAAATGGTCTGTTTTTCTTCTCGACTTTTTTTTAAAAAATATATATTGATTTTAGAGAGAGGAAAGAAGAGGGAGAGAGAGAGATAGAAATAGTGATGAGTCATTGATTGGCTGCCTCCTGCATGCCCCCGACTGGGGATCGAGCCCCCAGCCTGGGCATGTGCCCTGAGCGGGAATCGAACCCCGATTGCCTGGATCCTAGGTGGGCGCTCAACCGCTGAGCCACGCCCGGCCCGGATATCTCAGTAATATATTCTAACATCAGAAAACCAAATGTTGCCATCGAGTGAGGCTGATGAGGAAGTCATTATATGTGTTAAGTGGGGGCCATATCCTTCAAGACAACGTATTTGTTGGCCCGATGGAGACTAGTACCAGCAGGCAATGGGTTCAAAATAAGTTAGTAGACGTGGCAGATTCTTTTATTGCTCCAAAGAGTCACTGTTCCTCTCTGTGAGAAGAGGATACTCCCCACTCTATTAATGTCAGGTTTGGTACTGGAGATCAAGTGCAAGTGACATGTGTCAGTTGTGAGTAGAATCTTAAAAGCATTCCATGGTTCTGCTGCCCATGAGGCCAACATATCCCAGACAGGGACAACTCCTTGTGTCTAGGTCCCAGAATTGCAGCTGATCAACAACAGATAATAACGAGAACAAGAAATAAACCTTTGTGGTTATAAGCTGAGTTGCCTGGGGTTCTTTATTAGACTAAGCTACAGTAAACTACTTTCAGAGAACTTTCAGTAGGAAAGGAGAAAACAGAAGTCTAAGGCTGCAGAATGTGAGAATAGGATTTAATTACTTTATATAAGGCTTAGGTAGGTTGAGAGACAGAGATGAATATTAGAAAGAGAACAAAACTATAAATTAGAGAAGAGAAGAACAAACAATGTTAGGTATGATGGGTAATAGAGAAGATGAGGTCAAGGACACGGGGCGGAGCGTGGGCCTCAGAGCCGAGGGCTGCAGTGCTGTGTCAGAGACTGAACAAAAGAAGAGAGTTCGGTGAAAATAGAAGTGAAAGGAGGAAATTTGAGCAAACATGAGGAGCATAGTCGCAATTTTTTGAGAAAATTATTGGTGAATATAGATGCTGAGAGTGAGATGCAGAAAAAGAGTAAATAAAGCATTTAAGAATGAGGTTGATTAAAATGGTACTTTTCACAGAGCTAAAAGAGATAACTTTAGAATTTGTGTGGAACCACAAAGGACCCCAAACAACAAAAGCAATTTTGAGAAATAGCAAAGCTGGAGGTATCATGCTTCCTGGTTTCAAACTATACTACAAAACTACAGTAATCAAACTAGTATGGTATTGACATAAAAACAGATACACAGATTGAGAGAATAGAATAGAGAAACCAGAAATAAACTTGCACCTATATAAAAGAGCTAATAACATGCAATGGGAAAAGTATAGTCTCTTCAGTAAATGGAACTGGGGAAACTGGGCGGCCACATGCAAAAGAATGAAACTAGATCACTCTCTTACATCACATACAAAAAATTAATTTAAGATGGACTTGAAGACTTGAACATAAGACCTAAAACCATAAAATTCCTAGAAAAAACAACAACACATAGGCCCTACTGTCTTTGATAAGCTCCTTGTTTTTAGTGACTTTTTTTGGATATAACTCCAAAGGCAAGAGAAACAAAAGCAAAATTAAATATATGGGACTACATCAAACTAAAAATCTTCTGTACAGTGAAGGAAACCATCAACAAAACTAAAAGGCAACCTATTGAATGAGAGAAGATGTTTGCAAATCATATATCTGATAAGGGGTTAATATCTGAAATATAGAGATGAAACTCACACAACTCAACAACATAAGAACAAACCACCCAATTATATCATGGGCAGATGATCTAAATGACATTTATCCAAAGACGAACAAATGGCCAACAGGCACATGAGAAGATGTTCAACATCACTAATTACCAGGGAAATGCAAATCAAAATCACAATGAGACATCACTTCACTTCTGTTAGGATGGTTATTATCAAAAATACATGAAATAACAAGTATTGTAAAAGGTGTGAAGAAAAGGAAACCCTTGTATATTCTTGGTAAGAATGTAAACTAGTGCAGCCACTATAAAAAACTGCATGGAGATTCCTCAAAAAGTTAAGGATACAACTACCATATGACCCAGCTATTCCACTTCTGGATATTTATCTGAACAATGCAAAAACACAGACCAATACAAAAACACAAATTCAAAAAAAGATATGCACCCCTAGGTTCATTGCAGCATTATTTACAATAATCTAGGTGTGGCAACAACCTAAGTGTCCCTGAAAGATTGAAGAAGATGTGCTACACACACACACACACACACACACACACACACACACAATGGAATACTACTCAGCCATTAAAAAGAAGGAAACTTGCCATTTGCAACAACATGGATATACCTGGAGGGTATTATGCCAAGTGAAAAAAGTTAGACAGGGAAAGATAAATNACACACACACACACACACACACACACACACACACACACAATGGAATACTACTCAGCCATTAAAAAGAAGGAAACTTGCCATTTGCAACAACATGGATATACCTGGAGGGTATTATGCCAAGTGAAAAAAGTTAGACAGGGAAAGATAAATGTAGTATGATTTCACTTATATGTGGAATCNATGGATATACCTGGAGGGTATTATGCCAAGTGAAAAAAGTTAGACAGGGAAAGATAAAAAGAACAGAATAAACAAAACAAAAACAAATTTGTAGATACAGAAAACAAATTGGTGGTTACTAGAAGGGATGAATGTTGGGGAGAAGATGAAATGGTTGAAGAGGATTAGTTGTATGGTGTTGGATGATAACTAGATTTACAGTGGTGAACACTATGTAGTGCATACAAATATCAAATTATAATGTACTCCTGAAGTGTATATATATATATAGATATATAAAATATCATATATATATAAAATATCATATACCAATTTTACCACAATAATAATTTTTAAAAAGAGTGAGGCTGGTTTTAAAGAGGCAATATGCAGTCTATATGCATGTTGGTACTATACTTCCTGATTCTCAACCAATGAAATGTTGACCCAGCTACCTGCTATTAATCACGGAACTTACATATAATTACAAGTAGTTGTATATTTACACGATAAAAATTAAGAGATCTTTTGCCTTCATATTAGCCTGTAAAGTCTAACTGGCCCTAGGACTATTCATCAGTATTGTGAGAAAATGACTACAACAAAGTACAATATTTTCAAAGAACATTGAAATGAGTATTTTTCCAAATGCTATACAGTAATTTGCCAATAATCATTAAAAGTGTTAGTAAGTTATTTTATGTAGTATATTGTTTTTTATGCTTAAGTTTCTGAATTTTCACAAATTGAATGTTAAAATATTTCTGACATGTGATTGAATGAGCAAATTAAAGGAAATAATTTGGAAATGGTTATAGTACAAACTAAATTTGATTGCAAGATTCACTGGGTTTTTTATCAATTGTGCAATTAGTTACTGAACTGCACTACTCAAATATTTGATTTCAGATTCATTCAAGCTTACAATTTCATTTATAAAAGCATTATATTTCTTTATGCAAGTCATTTTGCCTTTGATTTCCTTAGATTCTTTTACTGCAAATCTAGAAATTTAATAATGCAATGTCGTCTCTGCTAATTTAATAAAAGAAAAGTTGATTCCATAGTCACCCTGGTAAAGGCTGGTTCTAAGCCATTTGGAGCAGTGGTTGGACGAAATCTTCTCCTTCTCCATGTTTCAGGTCTATTTCCCCTTGTGATTTTTCCATTCGGGGGAGGAGAGGGAGGAGGGATAGGCACCGTGTAATTGTTAACATTCAGAAGGTGATACTGATTCATTCCCTGGGAATTGTCCATGGAGTTCCTGTACTTCATCAATGCCTTCTTGCCCTGTAATCACATTTCATGACATAAGAACCAGTGAAAGAGGAGTGGTGACTCAGTGTAGCCCAAAACTAGAGACAAGACTGTATGATTGACATTGCATGCAAACACAACTGATATAAATAGGCCAACTCAAAACACTCCAGTCTGTTTGAAATATCCATAGCAAATTAGATTTTTATGAATTTCTAACCTTATTTAAGTATATTTTTAAACCAAATGTACAGTGATGGCATCTTTGTAGTACTTCTGGGATTTTTCCTCAACAATCCATTAAATCTATGTATAGTTAATTTAGAATCAAGAAGTTTAAAGAGTTTACTTTGAAGCAGTGTTGAACAGTTTACTTAACAATGGAGTCTTAGCTCTTTCTTCACATGCATTTCACACATTCAGGTGCTATAATCACTGATAATATAATATCAAGGTACCAAATACAGACACTAACCCAAAGACTCTATTCAGCTTATTTTCTCCAAGAAATTCAGCTAGTGAGAATAAGTGCTTTCGAAGATAACTACACAAGTACATTGATATAAATATAAGGTTACACACACACGTACACAGACATATACATATAACAAATTTAGTTGAACCATCAAGTACATCAATAGGAGAATGTTTAAAATTTGCTTTGTTCTTATAATAGATTCTCAGCAGGCTTCAAAAAGAGTAGTGTGAATCTATTCATCCTGACATAAAAAGATCCATGTGCTGTAATCATACATTTCCTTTAAATAATGTATATATGGATTCTGATAAAATTGGGGTATCTGGAAGACATGAACATAAGGTTGCCATGGAGATTTGGATTGTTGGGGAGGATATCATTTTGCATTTTATATATCTTTGTATTATTTGAAGGTTTAATCAACATGTATTACCTCAACAATTAAAATGCACCAAAGTTTTAATCAATAATTATGTTACTGCTTTCAGGTATACTTGAGTCTTTGAATGTTCACAAATTGATTATTTTTGTGTATCTGAGGTAGTTTTCTGAACTTTAAGTCATCTTAAATAATTTTTTCTCTACTTTATACCAATTTATTTGTGTGGTTTTAAATTCATTTTCAGCCCATTTATTCTTTATTTTGAGATGCTTAAATAGTGAAACGTTATTTTTAAGAAAGGGAAGTAATTTCCCGACATTTCTCAATATAAATAAATAAAAGCAGGTTAAATAAAGGCATATGTATTACATATTTTGATTGAAGACAACATTTATGTGAAGAGAGAGGGATTTAAATAGATAATCACCAAGGAGTTTAGAATTGTTAGAATGGTTCACATTGCAGGTGTTATGCTCTCATTTTACTATTTCTACAATTTTCACTTTTCTGTGATGGTGTGCATTGATATTGCAATAACAAATATAAATTAAAGACGTAAAAATAATAAGAACAATAAAATGAATGAGTGGAAAACTTTCAAAATTTGGGGATTTTTTAATTTTATTTCTAAGTCGTTGTCCGTCAACTGCATGCCTTATTTGGAAATGGTCTGATAATTTTAAAAAAGTTAACATGCTGTTCCTTACCTCACATTTTTAGCCCAGAGCATTTTAAACATCTTTCCATGACAGTACAGATAATTCTACCTTATTACTTTAAACATACTTTAATATATTCTAACATTTTAAAAATAATAACCTATTAAACTCTTAGGTATCTTATAATTGCTCACTATTATAACACTAAATCTTCTTGAATTTCTTTCTTTCCACATGTGTGTGTATTCCTGGGGAAAATTCCTATATGTTAAAATGCTTGAGCATGTTCATTTAAAATGTTGACAGGTATTTCCATATTGCTTTCACAATAGTTGTACCAATTTCTACTTCTATCAATAGTGCATGAGAAACTCTCATTCTAAGGATAATCATTTTCAATCAAGTCATTATTTTTACTCAATTGGATTTCAACCAGCCTGTTTTTTACCAAATTGCTTTTGCCTAAATCAAAGACCTTCGCTCTTGACGTTCAGAAACATCAGCCTCCTTATATCTGTTGCACTTTCAAACAATTCCCATATGCATACCACCTCCTCCTGTAATCTTTAAGAAAGCAATGCAAATTCAGTAGGTGCTTGCTACATACTCATCAATCACGCAGATTACTGTTCTTTAGGAATTTCTTGTCTGATTTTATATTAAATCATTTTTATCATCAGTGCCATTGAAAAAATTACATGTCTTTTCTGGCAGTATATTTTGTCTATGTACATTATAATATAAACTCCAATAAGTTGGAGACTTCTGCCTGCCTTGATAATTGATATACCACCAATGCTTAGAGCAGCACTTCGGTGACAGTAAGTGACCAATAAATATTTGCTGAATGAAAAGTGTAAGTTTAGCTAGTTTAAATTAATATGGGATTGAGCTCAATCTTGTCAGCCATGTAAGTTACCAGTAAGTGCCTATCCCTCATTCACTCACCCCAAAACTTGAAAACAGGAAAATAAAAGGCCCCATCCATATTTAATTAATTAATCCATCTAGTGGCTCAGAGCTAATTTGGAAAATCATCTGAAAGAAAAAATAAAATCCCTCCCTAGCTAGCAGAACTTGGATATTACCTGATTGGGAATATTCACATATCTTACAGGAAAATGTGTCTATCAAAGTAGTACAGTAGAAGAATTCGTATAGGAGCATAGAAAAGCATATAGTCACCTTGGAAAACATGGAAAATGCCCATCCAAGTACTATCTAGGGTAGAGGATATCTCACCCATTGGACTTTGAATATTTCCAGTCCTAATGGCGGTTATTCTTGGAGCATACAGGGGGTTTAGCCAAAGACCTTTGAGTTTCCCGGTACCTTTGGCAATCTCATTCCTTAAATGAGATAGGTGCACCAAGCCATCTTAGCCTGATGGCGTTAACATTCCACCCGCCACATGTGCCCATTCTGATTCCACACGCACCAGGCAACCTGCTCATTGTGATACAGCTTCCCAGGAGGCCTGCAGGCGGGGAGGGCATGCTCCACTTCTACAAGCTGATGATTTGCTAGCATGTGGATTAATGGTTCCTGACTATGACTTTGCTCCCCATTCTGGTTTACTATGGGGAGAAAAGTTAGCTTGCTGTGAGTTACTTCAGTTAGCCTGAGACAATCTCTGGGGACTTGACCATTCCTGAACACTAGCTGAAACAGCAAAGGCCTGGGCCTCTAAATGGAGACCAGATTCTAGAAAGTGTCAACCTAATTGACTTATGACCCAATAAGTTCCTGCCTGGCTCAAAGCAGTCTTCCCTAGAAAATGCGCCAGCACTTTTGGCTTAATTTCCCCTGCCTTCTGATAAACTACTATTAAATTATAATAAGGCTTGTAAAAAGAGCTAGATAAGCTGAAAACCATATTAAATGGATTAAAATATAGTTATTTTTAGAGTTATATTTATACTCTTACTATGAAACAATCATTTATATGAAGTAATTCCTTATTGTCAAAGTTGTCTGTCAGTATCAAATAAAAATACCTTAATTTCATATATCTTATGTTTTCTAAAAAAGAAACGGAATCAAATTCATTCATTTGAACATAATGACTACTGTATTATGACACAGGTTCTTAAGCTGGCAAATGTTCCTCCTTTGTGTTAGAAATACAAACAATACCCTCCCTAATTACTGAATGTCTTAGTTACATCACCCTGTTTAAGAAACTCATATTTCATGGTTACTATGCCTCCTTCTGTGCTCTATTTAAATAACTGAAAATTACCTGAGACATAACCTTGAAAAGGAAGCAGAGTCAAACTCCTGTGTGTGATTAATTCAGTATTTTAAAAAAAGACAGACATTCTTTTCCTTCTATGTCCAACGTTCTCCAGAGTCAAACTTGAAGCAATTTCATACACTGATGGTAAAGTAAGTCAGCATGCAAATGCAAACCTATTCTTGGAAGGTTTCATTTTCTAGGCTTCATGCATTTAAAATTTGAAAGTAGTCAACACTGGGCCTGTTCTGATAGAAGTCATATCTGACTATAAAATGTTCCTTTTTGTTTTTCATACAACCCTTCAAATTAGTGAGAGATAATTTTGCATTTTACAAATCTATTCCTTACTCTTTTTGCTCACTAACACAGAAATTATAAGCTTTCCCATTTGAGTAAAATAATTAAATAGAACACTGTAAGTGCTCAATAAGTGCACAATACAAATTTCACTGAGTAGATTAATTAAATCTAGCCTCTTAAATACTGCGATGATCTAATAATATAATCAAGAAAAAAAAGATAGTTCTTGAAGAAATAACATTTACCCCAATGGGAAATGGAGCTTCATTTTCCAGCGGCGAGGTTTTTGATCTGGACCCCGGAGTTATCTTTGGAACAGTTCTTACCGCAGGATTACTGGGAAGAGGCTGTAATCGAATTGGAGGCTGTGTAATTCCTGGGGCAGTGTATGGTCGAGGGGCTGTCTAGACAATTAGGGGAAAAAAATCCATTTAAATTAGTACCTTGACATGTTTCCAGAACCAATTAATAACCCAACAAATTGACTAGAGTAATTAATGGTGCCTTTTTACTGAGCAGATTAAACTTTAATTATGTCCTTCCATTATACATACCCTTATGACCTAAAGTATTTGTTAAAACATATGGTGGGGAAGTTCTCTCATAACTAAATGCCACAATTATAGAGTATTCTAGACAAAGGAGATGTTCTCTGTTAGGTTCCTGTGCTTTATTCACACGGTAAACTCACTGACAATACCTAATTTATGCTGTGCCTAGAATGGCTTTCCTCAATTAATGTTAAGTTGAATAATGGTCCTATTTTAGAGATCTAAAGGGATATGATTGGAATGGACTCATTTCTATTTAAATGTTTTCAACATAAATTCTACTGTGAGTCCTTTAAGTCTTAAGGTTAGTCCTGAAGTATAAGCAATATGATTCAAAGAGGAAAGGTAAATGCTTAACTGCAGTGCATTACTATTTAATCAACCTCTTCCTTGAAATATTAGGAAAACAAAAATGAAAAATAGTAACTGGCAACTTTGGAAAACACATATTTTGCAGGCTAGGTGTTTTCCATTTGCCCCTCTTTTTTTGCCTTCTCTGCCCTGTTCTTGCATCTGGGAGTCATTTCTTTATGGACTGCACCAACTAAACTCAGGATTCAGTTAGATTTGGCCAATGAAAGGCACTGGCAGGAGATCAAAAGACAGGAGGAAATGAGATCGGGGTCTTAATTCTCCTGGACCCTTCCCACCAGGGTTGTGATGGGTCGGTTGGTCCTTCCACCAAAGTCCACAGCTCTGTCAGGAAGTCCTCTCCCACCTTACAAGTAGGAGAGGTTCTCTGTCCAAACCCTCCCTTTCCCCACTAGGCCAAGCTGGTGTGGTTTCCCACTGGGCTGACCCCAGCACGCTAAACATCCCTGGTTGTTTTTCCTTAACCCTGCCTGCATCTTTGCAAATAGTTTCTTTATTAAACCCTTCCTAATTACCCTATTTGTGTGAGCCATCTGTTTCCTGCTGAGACTCTGACTGATATACTTTCTAATCAAGAATATACTGCAGAGAATACCAAAAGTGCCAGTATGGAGCATGAATGCTGTCTTTCGCGGCACTGACAGAACATTATGAGTTTAGTATAAAGACTAGCAATGTTTCAAAAGTGGAAAAAACAAGCCCTTTGGCCCAATTGTTCTATTATAATAAAATAGTAGAAAACCTGTTAAGAATAATAAATGCATATTTGGACAAGAGGGTGTTAGGATAGTATATAAATCACTCATAGTAAGGTTTACTACACTGACACTAAAGAATGATGAACAGCCCGGCCAGCGTGGCTCAGTGGTTGAGCATTGACTTATGACCCAGGAGATCTCGGTTCGATTCCCGGTCAGGGCACATGCCCGGGTTGCGGGCTCGATCCCCAGTCGGGGGCGTGCAGGAGGCAGCTGATCAATGACACTCTCATCATTGATGTTTCTCTCTCTCTCTCCCTTCCTCTCTGTGAAATCAATAAAGACACATTTAAAGAAAAAAAGAAAAGAATGGTGAACAAAATATTCAACTCTGCAAAAGTATAAATACATAAAAAATGAAAGGGCAGCTCCTACTACCAAAAGTTGGTCTTCGTACCATCCTGACAAGCATGTCATATGTGTTAAACCTCTGATTTTATTAAGTCAATATTTATTGAATTCCAATGATAAGCACTATGAGGAGATTCAAAAGTAATTTTTAACATCTAATGGTGACACAAGACAATTAGTGCCAAATGACCCACACAAGTACTGCCAAAGAGACAATATGACAAAATACCTGAGCACTCACAGCACTTAGAACTAAAGTTATTTGGAATAAGCCAACAAGACTGAAAAATTAAAGTTTCACAGAAGCAGTTATATTTTACCCAAATGGATGAGCAACAGAAGAAAATGGAGGAGCAGAGGAGAGAATGGTAAATTGAAACATCTGAGTAAGAAGAGAGCCAGTCGCGGCCAGGCATGGGAAGGCGGCAAAGATAATATTCCCCAATATCTGTTTTCCTTTCTTCACTAGTAATAGAATTTTTATCAGGAAACACGGTGAACAGCCTTTATTATAAATAAAGGCTACATTTTCCAGCATCTCTTGCAATTCTGTACAGATATAAGCTCGGTTTTGACTAATAAGATGTGAGCAGAAGTGATACATGAAACTTCCAGATCAGGCGCTTAGAGAGGAGTCTGAGTTGTTGATGGCTTTATAGAGACGGCCCACCCGCTGAGATTCACGTGTATGTGTTGGGGTGCGGAGGGCATCCTCATGTTCAAGTCATTGTCATTTTGGATCTCTGCACCCAAACCTATATCCTGACCAATACAGGAAACCAAGTGGATTGACTACAACAGCATTAGATTTCATGAAACAGAACATAAGCCTATATGAGCCCGAAAGTGAAAGGTTGTAAAACCCACAAAGAAAAACCAAGCTAGAGGTTTCTGAACAAAAGAATCAGATCGCCCAAAAGAATTCCTTTGAATTCTGTGAAACAAATATGCCTTAAGAATCTCTCCTGTCAAATAATCCACCTGAACACAAAAACATTGACAATCTAATGCAGGAATTTAAAAAAGCAGGTTACTATAAACTAGAACATGATCAATTGGCTGTTGTGCTCTAAATTTTATTTCTCCACATTTGCATACAGATACCATTCAGTTAGATGAATGTGGCAGTCAAGTGTTTAACTGATTACACTTATCTCTAAAAACAAATCTGCACCATTCAACGAACAGCTGTGAGCTACAAACTGTTGTAGTTCACATCAAAAGCCACCTTAAATTTGCTATATTTTAAATTGTTCATAATATATTTACTTGGAATAAACATGGCACTGTAGCTTAACATTTTCAAATCTGTACCAGAATGTGAATGGAAATTGACTACCTGGTGATTATTCAGCTTAGCTGAGCATTTCTAATTCTTAGTGGAAGATCTCTGGGGGTGCATTTTCCAAGCCTGTGCAGAATTAGTTGAATGACTTTCCAGAGTTTTAATGGGAGCAATGCAGCTAAAAGCTTATATGTTATTTTGAGAGTTTACGTGCAATTAGTGACCAAACGCAATAACTATTCACTGGATGCTTTACTTATTCGCTCAAGAAAGTTAAAAGAGAAAAATCGATGGCCATACCCCCAAAGGATTATTATCTCCGTCTCAATGGCACTTGGAGGTCAGGAGTCAAATTTAAAGGCTATGTACCCAGGTTTCGAAAACAAAGAGGAGGACTTGAATTTCTGTGGAATGGAAACTGCAATTCCAAGATTGAAATAGGTATCCCTGACTGGGCAGAAGCACCACAGGGGGTAACCAAGTGCAGCACTGTGGCTTACCAGATAGAAAGGCTTCCGAAGTGCTGGTGTCAGTGTTTCCTGTAATTTTTAAATTACTTTCTCATTCCTGCCACATTAAGATCTCCTGGATGTATCATAAACTACTTATTGAGGGTGTTCAGCTGGAAAATTGAAAAGAAAGCCTTCCAAGGGTTTTTCCTCTCTGAAACAGGTGGGAAGATAGCAAACAGCGCTTGATTGTTTCTTTTGTTTCACCCAGTTTAAGCTTTTGAGAGTCTAGTGAATTTGCCACCTAATAAAAGAGTTATTTGTGTACATATGCATTTAAATGAAGCCTGAAAATATGGTAACAACAAAGGGAAAACGGTTGCTTTTCATAACTTGAGCAGTTCACCCGGAAATGTCAAAACATATTTACCTTCTGAAAAATGTCAAAGCTTAACACTATATGTGATGAAGGATGAACCTGCTTTAACAATCTGGGAAAGCACTGTGATTTCTCTACAAACATTGTGCAATCCAAAAAAATGTTCATGCTCACAAGGAAATATATTAGGCTACACAAAGCAAAAATAAAGACATAATCAAGCAATTCATTTACGGCTTATACCATCAACCTCCAGCAAATATTCTGCAAATCTTTTCTTGTGTCTATATTGTCTCAAGCAACCTTACCTTCCTTCAAGCAAATACCACCTCTAGGTTAGAAATGAATCAAACTGGAAGGAAAGGTCAGTGTGCAATTTCTTTTAATAGAATTTCTGCACATTTAATTATTTTTATCTTAGAGTGCGTGCACATACTTTTGATAAATGAAGCACAAATATAAGTATCTGGCCCCAAATGCTATAGAGTACTATTGAGTACAAGTAAGGTGAGAGCAGAGGGAACAGCAAGGACAAAATGCAGAGGTCAGAAAATACAGCACAAGTTTGGAACAACTAGTGGTTCAATTTTGCTGCATTGCAGAATGCTAAAGGATAATTGTGGGGGTAGCTGAATTGAGGTCAGATGGTTCAGGGTCTTAAATGTCAAGTGAAAGAGCCTGTGATTTTCTATAGGTGACACAAAGCAAGTGAAGGTATTTGGGCATGTAAATAACATAAGTAATCTGTGCTTAAAGCAACTTAATCTAGCAGTAACAACCAAAATGAATTCGACAGGGGTGATACTGATTAGAGGTGGAGTGTTCAATAGAGACAGAGTTGAATAGATACAAGAATCTGTTTTTACTCAGTAGAATTCTCAGGATTATACAGACACATACCCAGAGAGCATTCTTTCTGAGAGTAATAGGAAATTATAAATGAATTAGTTTGGAATGGTGCATGACAGAGTGTTTAGTATGACTCACCAGTGTTATTGGACTGGAACGTCCTTCATCAGCCAGAACACTATGGCCACGGTTAGTCTTTGGGCCCACTGGGGGGTGGGGAGACAGGACTGGCATGTTTTTTTCTAAAGACCATCTTATGGGCTCTCCCTAGAATCAGAAAGTAATTCAACAAATTGATGCATAATTAGTAATTTAGGTTAGGTTAGTATCTACCCCATAAAAAATACTATATGACTAACAAAGTCTTTTGTCTTTACTTTCAAAATGTTCCTTCTGAGGTCGATCATGATAGTCAGAAAAAGTTTCCACTTCTATAATGGGGAACTGGGTGTGATAGTGAAAGGCAGGAAACTGAGACTGTTTTATTCAAAGAAATAGCTACCGGGGCAGTGTATCTTCGGTTTTCACAAAAATATTCATTAATCTGCTTTAAGCAGATCACTACAAAAGGATAATGCTCTTCCCCTACTCTGATCAGTAGAGACTACCAGAAAGTATTACTTTTCTACCTTAGAAAATTATTAACTAATGCCCTAAGCGAAAGGGTTGCATATTACATAAAAGAGGCCAAAACATAGGTCTTTCACTAAGTGCAGCCATACAGTGAAAACTGTTACAAGTGAAAATCATACAAGGAGGGACTGGAGTGCCTATCACAAATCTTCCAATGCTATAACACGCCCACCTGTCTAAGTGTGACTGGAGATCTGGGTGAGAGTGGATTGCACATAGCGTCAGGCAGCACTTGTCACTCTTTATTTCCAGTAGCCATTTTCTCCCATCAACATTTCAGGAGTAAATTATAGAATCTATAACTCAGTCCTTGATGTAGGACAATATTGGCAAAGTTGAATTAACCACAAATCTCTACACAATAACTCTTCTGATCTTGAAAAATGGACCTGTCTTCTGTTAGTTAACAACACTTTTGTAACAAGATTATCTTTGACCATAATAAAATAGACAGATTTGAGACTATCAGACAAGAGGGAAAAATTACTATTTTATATGGCAAGTTATTCTACTGAATCTTTACAAATATTCATGAGTTTGTGAAATGTCTCAGGCCTCACATTTACAATATGACACAGAAAATGAAGAACGACATGTAAGTTTGAATGGGTCAAGAAATTGAGTAAAACTGGCAACCTAAACTGGAACCTTTCAAACATGCCTAATTGAATCTCTCGTGTCTTGATCCAAATTTATATATTTCCTAATTTCACTTCAAAGAAGGATATCAAATACAAAAACAGAAAACAAACAGGGATTATATATATATA